TCCCCCCCCCCCCCCCCCTGAGATAAAGAGAATATGGTTGTAGGAACCTTTGATAATGTACGAATTTTGAAAAACTGGAATATACTTAAGCAAGAGATCATGAAACATGCTCATAGTGAACAGAATTTCTAGTCTCAAATTTTTTCTTTTATACATGAGGCAGCGTGGTGAAATCAATCGCTCCTCAAAATATTTAAATTGGAGAAACAGGCATTATTCCGCCAGCTTGGAAAATTTTAAAGAATTTTTATTTTTTGGCTTAACCTCTTATGTGTCCTTAAGATACCCATTTCCATTTGATTTTTACAGAAAAACATTGAACAAAGGCTCAAAATATGTCATTTTTCAGTTTTCAAAGTCTCTTTAGCTATTGGAGTTACCACACTTGGATGGCCATTTTCTCGCTTATTTCACCACTGAAACCTGGGGACCTCACTTCCTTCAATCGCAAATATCTTGAGTTTTATTCAAGATAAATGGATATTTATTTCATTAGAGCAAGGCAAATAAATCTGATTTCAGACGATACCAATAACTCCACCTGTCTCCAAAGTGGCGAGTGCCTGATTCCACCGCGTCGTGACACATAGGAATTTGTACTTAACGAAAAGATTCCTGTGTCCCGCCAATATTTCTATGTGTATATTAGACTAAATATGTTGTATACACCCTGAAGGCAGTTGTCTCACATGCGATTAATTCTTTTCTTTCTACTCTGCCAGGTGAGTCCCCTGGCTCAGGTACCTCTGATGGTAGCAACGGCAGCTCAGTCAAGGTCGGGGTGATTGTGCCGGTGGTGACTTCCGTCTTCCTGGCTGTCTCAGTCATCATGTGCCTCATAATCTGTTTCGTCCGTCGCTGTCGGCGAATGAGCTCGGAGACCTACGGTCAACAACGCCAGGATGCAGGCAATAACAGTCGAGGTAAAGCCTGCTTATTGCCATTGTTGTTATTCGTGTTGTTGCAGTTGTCCTCCTCCGCCTCAACATCTTTCTCATGGATGGTTGGAGGGCACCACTGGTAGGGCCTGCATGTGGGTGGCTTGCGGGTGCTCTGATGTGGTTTGTTCCCTCTTTCCTGTCAAACATATATCGTCCTTATCTCTCCTCCCTCTCCTATTTTTTTGTGTTTGTTACTCTCTTGTAACTCCTGTAATCTTCAGCACTTATATGACCTTATTGTGTTGCAAGTGTTGTAAAACTCTAACTAAAACTAGGTCCTACTTCTTTCTCATCCCACTTTTGTTCTGTCTGTTTGTCTTGTCTTTTCCCAGCCCTTCACGGCTGTTATTTTGTAAATGTACATCTGTCCACCTGGACAAACCAACATCCCTTCCCTTTTTTGATTGAAAGTTCATTTTCTTAAATTATCCCAACAGGAAGACATAGACGTCGGAGGAACCAAAATGTTCAGATGAATGTGACCTTGAGCTCAAGTGAACATCCACCGTCGTATGAAGAGGTTATCCAAAACACACCCATTGGATGTCTCAACATGGTGAGCTGTTACCGCTAGGCTCTATATCTCGAGGCTTATTCATGGTGGAGATCTTAGTCTGAAAGGAAGACAAATTTCTGTGTTTTGTTTATCCTTTTTGTAACGCATTGGTTATAAGAACTTGGTTGAATTTTTTTATTCGTTTTGTTATCTCAGTTACGAAATGAATGAGAATAATGTAGGTATGCATATCTTCTCCTGTCCACAATTTATCCTTTTTTGGCATCATGATTTCATGCCATTAAATTGTTTGTGGCAAAATGTGGCCTGTATCGTGCAAACTCATCACACACTGCTATGCTTTGCCCTCTCTCACTCTCTCACACTCTCTCTCTCCTTCTCTTTCTCTTTCCTCTCTTTCTCACTTTCCCTCTTTCTCTCCCTCTCCTTCTCCCTCTCCTTCTCCTCCCTCTCCTTCTCCCTCTCTCTCTCCCTCTCTCTCTCTTTCTCTCCCCCTCTCTCTCTCTCTCTCTCTCTCTCTCTTTCTCTCTCAGCATAAGGCTATAGTTCACTTAATGGTTAGTGAGTACAGGTTTGCCTAGAATTCCAAGCATATTTTAGATAAAAGGTCACATTGGTGCAATCATAAGTAAGACGCTCAAAAGTAGGGAACTGCTCTCAGCTGACCATCTACAGCCTGCTACTATTTGAATTTGTTATTAATACACTGTTATTTAATGAGTTTTGTTCCCGTCTTTGTGAATTACGTGTTTCAACAGGGATTTTTAAAGTTAATAAGATTATCTTTTCCTTTCTTTATCTTTTTATTCTAGGCATTCTCTTGGTCCCACACAGAGCAGGACATGTCCCAACCACCAACTTACGAAGAGGCGACATCACCAGTGACCCCATTCCTCCCTGAGGAAGGTCGTCAAGGTCGTTTGGTACCCTTCACATCCTCCAATAGTGTTAGCACTATCAGTGACACCGTCCCCCAGCCTATTATCACAGACAATAACAACCGCAACAACAACAACAGCAGCAGCAACAACAGAGTGGCGAGCAGTGTGGCAGGGAGCAGCTTTATGCCTGGCTCGGCCAGAAATGTGAGAACGGCCCATGGCGGTCAGCAGCAGGTGGCTCCTCCCCCGTCTCTGAGACTGGCAGTACACACAGAGTGCTACATGTCCTCATCTAGTTCATCAGAGGATGCAGAGGATACGCATCCTCGTCTGGACTCCTCCTCCTCCTCCTCTTCGTCGGATTCATGTCTTGGCAATGGGCATTCTCTCGTGCCGCGAGACAGTTCTGCTTCTTCACCAGGTCACTGCACAGTAGAGCCTCGGACAGGGTCGCCAGAAGCCAGAGATCGACGCAGCATAGCCAAGCCTGAAAGAGATTGTGGAGATGTTCAAGTTGTTCTCGGCTCTCCCTCCGCATCAAAGCATTGCATGAAGTATGTGCATAGAAAGCCTGATGCTATAGAAGGCTGTGATCAGCAGCACAGACAAGAGTCCAATGAACTGTATGACATACAGGATGTTGAACATCAGAATAGACCAAGTGCTGGACTGATAGAGAATTCTGTTGAAAGGAGTAATGTGAGGCACCAAAATGCTCAGAATTATTTTGAAGGGCCTGCAAGAGAAAGAAGAGGATCAGATTTTGTAGAGACTCCCTCAGAAAGGAGGTTTGAGAGAGACAGCAGAGAACCGAATGATACAGGAACCTCTACGGAAAGGAGAAATGAAAGGGATTACTACAGAGCTTCTAATGATTTAGAAAGGCCTATGGGACATGCTGACCTTTCTGAAAATGGTACGTTTGATGAAAGGGGCAGCAGAGATCTGAATGGAGAAAAAAGGTACAGGGATAGAGAAGACAGAGACAATGCTTCTTGGGGTCGAGCTAGAGACAGATACCCCTCACATCAAGCCCCGGACAGATCTGCGGAGAGGAGCAAACAGTCAAGGCGAGAAGAATTAGCTGGCGCTTCCCGGCAGTCCAGACATATCTTGAGTAATGGAAGGTCCCAGAGCTGTGCCAATCTGGCTACTGGAGATCCCAAGGAGGGTATTGTAGTCCGGGAGGAAGACAAACGCTTCAGCTATGCTGGGGCTGGAGACAACTCCCTGCACAGAGAAGACGATCTTCTTAGGGGTCAGGGTAGAGGTCTTTTCAGAGGGAGGCCCCGTGAGCATCTGGACAAATTCTCTGACCGTGATCCTGACCTGAGGAGAAATTTGACCCCCGGTGACTCATGGCTTGATGCATCTCACTCTAATCCACGACCTGGGCGAGGTGTTGGTAGCAACGGTGGTGGTGGTGGTGGTGGCAATGATGCATTCAGAGAGGATCAGAGCCACAGAGGTTCCAACGTTTATTCTGCAGTACCAGCTGACCGGCTCTCTTATTCTGATTTATCCACTGTTCCAGAGTCAGAACACTCTAGAGATGAGAGCCCTAATGGGAGATCCTACTCTAGACATTACTCGGCTTCAAATAATAGGCAAACCTATTACGATGACTCGCAGATGAGTTTGTCCTCTGAGCCTGGTCGCGAAGAGACACATGTGGACAGAAGGATGCCCTCTACTAAACCCCCGCGTCCACATCACAGGGTTGTCCACAGAGACAGTTCTCATCCAGACACAGACCATGGACACCCGAGAGCTGCACGCCGCCCACCCCCTATTCCTCAACGTCCTAGCCCAATGAGGAATAGAAGTTCATCCCATCAAGACGATTTAGGTGATGGTGAACCAAAAAATTCTGGACCAGATTCTTCATCTATTTCAGATTTGTGCTTAGAAATGGATTCGTCACCCCGGACATTACCAGAGGGCCAGAGGGCGGTAGAGGGCAGTCAGTACAGAGAGTGGCAATGCTAGACTACACCATTGGGGGCCTTACCTTTGTAGCTGTACAGGGTTTGAATGGGTTATAATTTCTGTTTGATGAAAGGGTCAATGTCTGACTTTGCTGTACAATGAAGAGACGAACAGCTGAATTCATGTTTAATGAATAATATGCTATAAAAATTCTGAAACCTTTCTTCATCCTCGATTTCTCTCATATTGCAATCTCGGATGGGAGTTACTGTGTCTTATTTTTGAGGATGTGGGTTGTTTGTCATATACGCCCTATTCATAGCTTTGTTGTAAAATTAAATGGAAGTTTTGATTTCCATTATCCTGTCAGGTAACTGAATATTCTGCCTTCAATACTGACATTCTTCAACAAAGTTAAAAATAAAATGTGAAAGTGTGCTGTAGTGACAGTTGCTGTAGTGACAGTTGCTGTAGTGACAGTTTTTGCATGTTGTTTTCTGGTCAAAACCAGTGATACTTTCGCTCATCCTCCTTTTTAGACTTTAATGTTTTAAATAGTTTTTATGTGAAATCTTATGGTCTCCTGTGTACCTTTTATTGATCTGAAGCTTGAAGATGAAATGCAACTTTCCTTGAAATGTTTTGTGTTCTGGAAATATGACACATTCCTGTGCCTTTATTACTTGTTTTTCGTGTCGGTTTTTTCGGTTTGTTTTTTCTTTGTACTGAAGTTTACAGATATCCCGCTGCTACTCTAAGTCGGGCTACTGCTCTAATCTCAACACAGATCTAAACCAATAAGTGTGACCAGGGGTTGTGAACATTTTTAGGGGGTGTAACTGCAGTTACCTAAGGTAGATAGCAGTATGGAAGGTGAGCTGCCTATATGCAAGCCTGCTAAAACCCTGAGTAATGCCAATGACTTATTATCTGTCAACTGTAGTGACTTTTAAGACATAAACTTTATGTTTTAAAGTTATGTTTCTCTGGTGCCTTCAGTTGGAATTTGAATTGTTTTCCAGTATTAAATGGAATTTTACTTAAAAAGCAAGAACATGACCTGAGGAAATGAAGGTTTATGAATAACAAAATTCCAAATACCCAAGTCATCCTCTATCTTTCCCATCATCCCATTTCCGTTAATATATTTTTTTCAACCGCTGATAACATTAACCATACACACACCCACACTCAAAGAGCATTATGTTCATGACTAATGAACATAAATGTGTTTTTACTTTCCTGAATATTCAGCTGATTAGTATGCTGTGCTACTCCTCAGATCCTTGGAAAGTAAATGCTGGCTGTCCTCTGTATTTCTACTTTTTTAACTAATAGATTTTTTATAAAACACTGGTCGTAGTGTAGTGTACATACTATAAAGTTCTTTTCACCAAACTGAGACATGGGCCTTGACCATGGAAGCCACCTCAATATGACATGTAAGTTTTTGCCAGCTCTGAACCCATACTTTCTCTCTTTCATACTTCCTTTACACATCTTACTTTCTGATTTTACATTTTATAGTTTGTCTATAGTTTTGTCTATTTTCACCTCAAGAGATCAATGGAATGTTTTAGTGCTCACCAACACAAAAAAATTGGTATTATGCATAAAGAAAACGTAGTTGTGCTTCCCTGTGTCCAACTCTTTTCTTGTCTTTATTCATACGCACACACACAAACACAAACAAACACACTCACACACACAAACACGCACCCCCCAAAATTATACTAACCCCCCAAGTACTGAAACTGCTCACTACATTACCACAAAAGCACAAAATTACTAATATGTACATATTACATGCATTCCTAAACGTTCTATGAAAGACCTACTGAAAGGTTTGTATTATACATTGTTTTTTCTTATTATTTGTACAGAGAATTCATAGCCATTCCCAATTTTGCTTCATACATGCATTCCGCAACACTTTGGCTTAAGTATTTTTACATCAGGCGGCAATGGTACATTTCTTTACATACAGTGTTATACATTGTTTTATACTCTTAGAATTTTGTTTGTCATGTTATCGTGTAATATCTGAGAATTGAAGGGGTAAGATCTAAAGAGAGGCTAAGATCCACTGGACTGCTCTTGTCAAAAATGCGAAGAACCTTGTGTTACCTTTCTTTGAAATTGGAAGTGGGAGATGAAAGCAGGTCTCTCTGCAAAGCATTTATATTACCGGTTGGGAAAATGTGAGCTGAAAGGTCCAATGACACTATGATCTATTTTGCTTTATTTTCCATCAAAAATGCATTCCTGCTCCTTCCCCCTCCTTTTAGAACTCACCTCTTCATTTGTTATCTTTTATACATACTTATATATTATATATAATTATATAGGCCTATAAATTAGCAACTGTTTTATATTTTATTCAGGACATTCCACAAAAAAACAGGCTAATCTACTTGCCTTCTGTGTTTTCAATATTAATTTTAGTTCAGGCTCATCTTGACACTCTGCCATGACAATAATATATATTCTTCGTCAGTGACTGGCATATACAAATACAAATTTTGGGGTTTATGCCAAGTCAAATTTCCATGTGCTGTAATTCTTTTACAAGTTGTGAGTTTCTTTTTGTAAACTACAGATTCCATGTACGTTAAATGTTTGTTAATTTATACAGGCTAAGTCCTATCCATTCCAAGGTGTTCCTTGTGAACATGATGCCCGAGAGCATTTTGACAGGGAATATGAGTTGGGTCCAGAAAGTATGGAGAAAATGTAATACTTGAACTTCTGATGTGTATATATATTATGTATGTATGTGTGTGTGTGTACGCGCATGCATGCCTGCGTCCCTGTGTGTGTGTGCGCTTGCATGCCTACGTGCCTGTGTGTGCATGACTGCTTGCCTGCCTGCGTGCAAGCGTGCCTGCGTGCAAGCGTGCCTGCATGTGTGTGTGAGTGTAAATTGTTTATCTGAGTTGTGTCATCTTCTGAGCTCTGGGAATGCTTGGCACAAAACGAATTGATAATAGAATGAGAAGGCGACAAATTTATTAGTTTTGTAATGTATCTATGTGTGGATTCATGTCTCCCACACTGGACAGAAAATTCTGAAATGCATCTAGGAAATCGTGGGTTAGGTGTGAATGAATGTACTATTATTTGGGTCTCTCTCTCTTTCTCTCTCTTACTTATCCCCCCTCTCTCTCTCTCTCTGTCTCTCT